TTGGTTCTTGTGCACAGGAATCATGAATATCTCTGTATGGATCAGGTGCCGAATAAACAGCAGCAGCAGCAATATTTGGTGTATTTAGTCCATATTGAACAGCCATTGCTGCGCCATTACTCCAACCACTCATGTACATAGCACCGATGGTGTGCTGTATTTACTATAAATAACTCAAGATTCTTGATCAAAACGGGAATCCCACGGGACTCTTAGGGGAATCCCGCAGGAATCCTACGGGATGTTGCATTTTTTCGGGAGTCCCACGGGATTTCCACCTGGATTATCGACTAGAGAAAACAGCGTTCGAGTAGCGAAAACACATGTGGAACACTCCTTTAGTCATTCCTTATGCCACGATGAAAAATTATATATTTTTCAAAAATATACCATGGGATGGATAGCTCTTGAAATTCTCTACAAAATGAGCTAGTTAGAGTATCTTGACTGGTTGGGCGCTGTTATGACTTTTGAGATGAATCACTTGTTCAATATTAAATTCTTACAACAGGATAGATAAGCGATCAACTCGTTTATTTTTAACAGCTTTTGTAGTCACCTTTCAAATTGGACAATGATCTGTATAAATCATAACTGATCTTTCTAACAAATAGGGTCGCATTCTGTGTGGCGTGACAACAGGAAAAGCGTCCCAAAATGAACAACTACGTCGACAATCTGAGGCACTTGATGTTTCAAAATTTCAGTAAATCTAAAAAAACTTAACTTCTGAACCTATTTTTCACAGACATTAGTTTTTTGCCTATAAAAGCAGTAACACGTTTTGAATCCGGGATTATAGCCTTGTTATTTTACACAGAATTAAATTTTGCATCTTTTGATATATCATTCGATGGGGAATTTCGCGGGGTACAAGACGATATATGAAATGTTGAGATCAATTTGGCCCTGGCTGATTTAACACTAGAAATACTACCTTGCTGAGCGCGGATCACTTTAAACAAGATCCGTATCTCAAAAAACTCTAACCGTTACGCATTTTTCCTCCGGAATGGAAAAAAGTTTATTGACAGTTTTCCTGAGCGCTTAATGGTTTATCAGCGGTAGGGTCCGAATTATAGAAAGGCACTTTTATTACCCCAAAAAGGTATCAGAGTTGGATTAATAAATTGTCAGGGTTAGACATGCAAAAATCCCAAACCAGGAATCGCTGATCGGCACCGATCGGTTTGTTACCGAACATGTTCGGTCACCAAATGGTTTGTTACCGAACGGTTCGCTGCCGATCAGCGAGTCCTAGCTTGGGTTGGTTGCATGCTTGATCTGGACTAAAGGCAAATTGAATGAAATTGAAGCTTTTGAAGGAACTAACCAGTGAGAAAATAGACTAAAGTACAATGTGAGCGAATGTATCTTCTACTGAATCGCTACCAAAGGTTAAAAAAAAATAGTTTGTCAAAGCTAAGAACATGAGAATGAAGAAACACATGAAAAGAATCTTTGTAAAACAGAAAAAATGCTGAAGATTACACCAAACGGAGGAGCAGCCTTGATTACGCCGTAACCGTAGGTAGTCACGTAGAGAAAAGTTTGAATCAGAGCAGCAAATTTATGTTTACTTTATTCCAGGAAGTTGAAAGTACCTTTAGTTTCCATTATATCTGATTTACTCTCTAATAACCTACTAACGTGGCCTCTGTATAGTAGATTGATTTACTTTGTTTTCATGCAAAAATGGTTTTTCTCACTGTGCAGAAAAAAGTAGACAGACAGTTGCAGCTCTAATTTGAATGTATCTTTATAAGGTTTATGGTACTTTGTCCTAATAGTTTGTCAGCAGAGCGCTCGTCGATGTCTCTGATGAGAAAAATATAAACTATCGTATTTACAATCTTCGTCCGAACACGTTCGATAGCCATCCGGTAGAAGACACATTCGTTCACATTGTGCTTTAGTTAATCTATTTTCTCACTGGTTACTTCCTTCAAAAGCTTAAATTTCATTCAATTTGCCTTTAGTCCAGATCAGGCATGCAATCATCCCAAGCTAGGGCTCGCTGATCGGCAGCGAACATGTTCAGTAGCGAACCGTTCGGTCGCCGAACTATCGGTTTGGTGCATGCCTAGTCAGGGTGTCACACTTTGGATGAAAAATCCATTGGTTTTCTGATAATAAAATCATTTGTAGTTTAAACCATAGAATCTACTTAGTTTAGATAGCATGCAAAATAATTAAGAAACATTGGAACAGAGGCTCTCAATAGCAGACGTTCAAGAATACTTTCTTTTCTTTGGATATAATTTTTTGTAAAGCAACACTTGTTTTATTTCAACATTTAATTTTCTCGATATAGCCGGAACTAGATGGTCTTTACATTTATTTTGCTGGAGTTAAATTCAAGCTAGATAAATGTATCCGTAATTCAGATGAAAGCACCATCTGTACGTCTGGCATCGTGCATCGAACTTCTGGTGCTTTATACAAAATAGTGATACATTTAATCATAATGGTCGATGCAGCTCAAAAATACAAACATCACTGTCCAATAATCAAAAGTACCACTGTCCGGACAGAGTCTCATTATTAACAAAAAGACTAGGATTTGAATAAAGTATTTCATAATCTTTCACAAACATACCCAATATTTGTTAAAATTACGAGAATGTACACAAAAAACAATAATCCCGTTAATTATGTGGGAATTGTGAGCTGATTTTTGTTACTCAAAAGAAACAACAAAATTTTAAAAGATAATACAATTTTAATCGTTCACTTACAACACGCAGTAAAATCGTATCACGAACTAGCGAAAATAAACAAATGTTTCAAATATTACTGTTATAATCACCTCGTTTCTTATTTTAGTTCGATCGAAAAAACGTCAACTTTTTCCACAAAAAAGTCGAAATTCTGAGTGGAAAAAGATGATTTTACTAGATTAATTTTTAAAAATCTGTCCCGAGATTTATTAATTTATCCTATGAGAGTTATTTTGCGTCGCACATTCCTAGTCGTCAAGAACTACTTTCACAATCGACATTTCATTTTTGACATCTTTGTTTCGATGTTGTCGCTTCGATATTTTTTTCTTTCAGCCAAACGATATCCCTTCCTTGGTTACCATACACTTTACTATACTAAACCTACATCCGAGCAAGATCTTCCTGGTTCTCGGTTAACTGTCGGTTTTTAATCAAAATTGAGAACATGAACTATTTCTTGGCTTCAATTCTGAACACTTTTATGGACTCTTTCTCAAATTACTATAAAAAATACGAAGTAAACGACAACTAGAGTTAATTAAGCACAAAATTTCTAAACTTCATTTTCATTCGAAAACGGATATCAGTTTTTGCAAATAATGCAAAATATTCTAGGTTATTCATCCATAGATTACTTTTAAGTACAGATTTTTATGATCTGGAATGGACTGAAAATAATTGTTTCTGATTACATTCATTTCTTTTTGTATACTGTAACGGTTAACTCCAATTTTATGTTCACATAAATAGGAAGTATAAACTATTGGCAAATTGTTTCGATTATCAGTAATGATATGTGGTCGATTGATAATAAAACCATGTTCCTTCAAAATGCCCAATAATACTAATATAACACAATCGTCTATGAATTGACTATGTTTTATCTGACATAGTCTAATTGATTTTTGTGTGAGTCTACTTGCCACTTGTATATTTAACCATAATGAATTAGCAAAATAGAGTACTAATAATGTCCAGCTGAGGAGAAAGAGAATATGAAATGTAAATGAAATATGATTTAAATAGCATTGTGCAAGATAATCATAAAACATGTTTTTTCTTAATGGTTTTTGGGTCACGAGAATATTTTTATCTAAATGTTCTGTTCTTTCTTTTTCTCTACTCGAATGCATGTATTCTCGTTCGTTCCTTTATCTATCGTAAAATTCATAGACGATTGTGTTATATTAGTATTATTGGGCATTTTGAAGGAACATGGTTTTATTATTAATCGACCACATATTATTACTGATAAGAGATTTATTATACGTATACATTTACAAGAGAGAAAGAACGAAAAAAGAATATTCACCTTAATCACTATGGAGAAACCAAGATCGTGACGTCTCGTGTTTGTGATGCCTGTAGCTAACAATTCTCTTCTCTAAAAGATGGTGTGCGTTCACGCACACAAGGGTTCAAAGGGTAAAACGAACACCGTTGGGAAAAAAATGGTTCAGTTCGAGAGAAACTGTTCACATCTTGAAGGACAATTGTTCCGAAAAAATAAGCCAAGCCAGTCAAATGATGATAAAATCAATAGCGGATCTAAAGACAAAGTATTATGCAGAACAATAAAAATTTTAAAGTACAAAAATATCCTTCCCTTTTTAAACTTTTTATTGGTGCTGGGCATATCATGATGTTCGATACAATGTTCAAGTTTTTGAAATTTTTTGTCACTAAAAAGCCTTTCAGAGACTAAAACACACATATTCTTGATTAGCTCAACGAGCTCCATCTAGCTAAGTAAAAAAACTACAAATAAAATTCCACTCTGTTTTTGAATTACTGGCATCTTATGTTTAAATATTATTAGACAAGTGATGATTTACACATAAGATTGCCCAGTATATTTATTAAGTACACGGTTGGAAATAATATTTTTCCAGGGGGGTAGAGCTGAAACTACAAATGATATAAAAATTTATTATATACCAAATTAGTGTTCATCTAAAATGGAACTGATGTGTACGACTGATATTCTGTATGACGATTGTTGGCTGTAGAACTATGGAAGTTTCTATCGAGTGCGTCATAATGATTAAATTCTGGGTGTAGCAGTGTTTTGAGTAAAAGTTCCGTAACTTCAAACGCTTTTTCGATCGGGTTTGTTTTGTTTTGATCAGGAATGATTGCTTTTCTATTATTAATTCTGAAATCAAAATATCGATCCGGTTTTCCATTTCTTACTTCGGCACATTGCTGAAAATGAGGAAAAATTTTTGAAACTTCGTTCTCTAGCCCACCATCTGCTCTAAAAACATTTTTCACAGGCCAGAGGGAACAGCATGTTCAGAAGTACAAAAAGAACTGAGTTCTCAATTTTGCTACACGCTTTTGCGTGAATAATTGCTGAAGAAAACAGTCAAGTCGAAAAAATACCAACTATACAAAGTTTTCATTTTTTTCGCCT